TCTCCCACTCCCCCTGCTTGTGTTCCCTCTCTCGCTGTGTCTCTCTCTGTCAAATAAATAAATAAAATCTTTAAAAAAAAAAAAAGGGCTTCTGTACACTTCTATATAAAAAGGAGTAAAAACAATATGTATGTTTTGTATTTGCTTCTATTTGAAAAACAAGAAATTCTGGAAAGATTTCTAAGAATCTAGTAACTGGTAACTGGTAGGTGAGGGGGTGGAATCAGTTGAATAAGGACAGGGACAGAATGAGACTTTGAGTTTTTAAATCACATTACTGGTTATTTATTAAAATGATTAACATTAAAAAACTTTTACACATCAAAAAAAATCCATGGAAAACAAACTAGGAAAACAAATAATGAAAAGGGAAAAAATATGACACATGTGAAAAACAGGTACTTTTCTTAATACAAAAGGCTCTAAGAAATTTTTTAAAGAAGATTTTATTTATTCATTTGAGAGAAAGAGCACACAAGCAGGGAGGAGGGGCTGAGGAAGAAGGAGAAGCAGACTCCCTGTTGAACAGGGAGCCCACCTTGGGGCTTGATCCCAGGACCCTGGCATCATGACTTGAGCTAAAGGCAGATGCTCAATGGACTGAGACACCCAGGTGCCCTGGCTCTAAGTAATTTTTAAAAATGAAAATAAAACCAAAAGAAAAATGGCCAAGGGCTATAATTATACTATCTTATGTGAAAATATTTAGAAACTAAACAAGAGTGCCTGGGTGGCTCAGTTGGCGAAGGTGAAGCGCCTGCCTTCGGCTCAGGTCATGATCTCAGGGTCCTGGGATCAAGTCCTGCATCGGGTTCCCTGCAGGCAGGGAGCCTGCTTCTTCCTCTGCCTGCTGCTCCCCCTGCTTGCGCGTGTGCGCTCTCTCTCTCTGACAGATAAATAAATAAAATCTTTAAAAAAATAAAAATATAAAAATGAATACATAAGTGTCAAGTGACCTACATGAGAAGATATTTGTAACATTTCTAACAAAGGGTTAATATGGAGACCATGTAAAGAGCTCCTTTTTACACCAATGGAAACAACACAATGGAAAAATAGTCAAAGAATATGAAGACATACCTAATGACTATGTAAATATGAATTTAAATTATTTTTTATGTTTTGGCTATCTGACAAAAAAATAAGGGGATAAGAGCATCCAATATTGTTGAAGATGTGGAAAAATGAGGTGGGTGTATAAATTGGTTCAGCCCTTATGGAGGAAAATGAAGTGCTATCTATCCAACTTTTAAATGTGCAGACCCTCTGACTTAGCAACTTCCTTCTAAGAGTCTAACTTCTAAAACTACTTGCACGAGTACACAAAGGTATGAATTTATTGCAGCACTATTTAAAATAGTTCTCTCCCTTGGGCGCCTGGGTGGCTCAGTTGGTTAAGCGACTGCCTTCGGCTCAGGTCATGATCCTGGAGTCCCAGGATCGAGTCCC